GTTTATGGCTATTTAGAGCTGCTTTGAATTACTGTGTACAAGTTTTGGTGTCAACCTAAGTTTTCTTTTCTCTGGGAAAACTGTGCATGACTGCAACTCCTGGATATATAAGAAACTGCCCAACCACTTTTCGGAATAACTGTATTATTTTATGTTCACAGCAGCAAAAGGTGACCCTATTTCTTGGCATCCTAGCCAGTAGTTGATGTTTCCAGTAACTGTAATTTTATCAATATATATGTGTACTGGTATCTCATGTACTGTCATCTCTTTACTTTTAAAAGTATTATTGGTTTATTTTGGGAAAGAATGAATGGGACCAAGGGAGTGGCAGAGACAGAGACGAGAGAGAATCTCAAGTAGGCTCTGTACTCTTAGTGCAGAGGGGCTCAAACTCACAAACCTAGAGATTGTGACCTGACCCGAACTCAAGAGTCAGATGCTTTGCTGACTGAGCAACCCAGGTGCCCCACATCTCTTTACTTTTAATCCACAGCATTAAATTTAAATTTGCATATACAGGCTGTATATAATTGGAGTTCTGATCTGACAACTTACAGCTTTTAACTGGATCAATTTCATTTTATATTACTACTAATATAACTGAATTTAAGCATAGAATTCTATTATTTTATTGTTTGTATATCAGTTTTTTCTTCCTTATCCTTTTGAGCATGACTTAGTTATGTAATTCTACTTCAATGAATATACTGGTTTTTTTAGACTTCTTTTTAAATTTTTTTTTTCAACGTTTATTTATTTTTGGGACAGAGAGAGACAGAGAATGAACGGAGGAGGAGCAGAGAGAGAGGGAGACACAGAATCGGAAACAGGCTCCAGGCTCCGAGCCATCAGCCCAGAGCCTGATGCGGGGCTCGAACTCACGGACCGTGAGATCGTGACCTGGCTGAAGTCGGACGCTTAACCGACTGCGCCACCCAGGCGCCCCTAGACTTCTTTTTATTTGAGAATGTACTTATCACCCCTTCACTACCGAAGAATATTTTCCCTGGATATAGAATGTTAGGCTAATTCTCAATAAGATACTAGCAAATCGAATTCAACGGCATATAAAAAGAATTATTCACCATGATCAAGTGGGATTCATTCCTGGGATGCAGGGCTGGTTCAACATTCGCAAATCAATCAACATGATACATCACATTAACAAAAAAAAAGAGAAGAACCATATGATCCTGTCAATCGATGCAGAAAAGGCCTTGACAAAATCCAGCACCCTTTCTTAATAAAAACCCTTGAGAAAGTCGGGATAGAAGGAACATACTTAAAGATCATAAAAGCCATTTATGAAAAGCCCACAGCTAACATCATCCTCAACGGGGAAAAACTGAGAGCTTTTTCCCTGAGATCAGGAACACGACAGCGATGCCCACTCTCACCGCTGTTGTTTAACATAGTGCTGGAAGTTCTAGCATCAGCAATCAGACAAAAACAGGAAATCAAAGGCATCAAAATTGGCAAAGATGAAGTCAAGCTTTCGCTTTTTGCAGATGACATGATATTATACATGGAAAATCCGACAGACTCCACCAAAAGTCTGCTAGAACTGATACATGAATTCAGCAAAGTTGCAGGATACAAAATCAATGTACAGAAATCAGTTGCATTCTTATACACTAACAATGAAGTAACAGAAAGACAAATAAAGAAACTGATCCCATTCACAATTGCACCAAGAAGCATAAAATACCTAGGAATAAATCTAACCAAAGATGTACAAGATCTGTATGCTGAAAACTATAGAAAGCTTATGAAGGTAATTGAAGAAGATTTAAAGAAATGGAAAGACATTCCCTGCTCATGGATTGGAAGAATAAATATTGTCAAAATATCAATACTACCCAAAGCTATCTACACATTCAACGCAACCCCAATAAAATTGCACCAGCATTCTTCTCGAAACTAGAACAAGCAATCCTAAAATTCATATGGAACCACAAAAGGCCCCGAATAGCCAAAGGAATTTTGAAGAAGACCAAAGCAGGAGGCATCACAATCCCAGACTTTAGCCTCTACTACAAAGCTGTCATCATCAAGACAGCATGGTATTGGCACAAAAACAGACACATAGACCAATGGAATAGAATAGAAACCCCAGAACTAGACCCACAAACTTATGGCCAACTCATCTTTGACAAAGCAGGAAAGAACATCCAGTGGAAAAAAGACAGTCTCTTTAACAAATAGTGCTAGGAGAACTGGACAGCAACATGCAGACGGTTGAAACTAGACCACTTTCTCACACCATTCACAAAAATAAACTCAAAATGGATAAAGGACCTGAATGTGAGACAGGAAACCATCAAAATCTTAGAGGAGAAAGCAGGAAAAGACCTCTCTGACCTCAGCCGTAGCAATCTCTTACTCGACACATCCCCAAAGGCAAGGGAATTAAAAGCAAAATTGAATTACTGGGACCTTATGAAGATAAAAAGCTTCTGCACAGCAAAGGAAACAACCAACAAAACTAAAAGGCAACCAACGGAATGGGAAAAGATATTTGCAAATGACATATTGGACAAAGGGCTAGTATCCAAAATGTATAAAGAGCTCACCAAACTCCACACCCGAAAAACAAATAACCCAGTGAAGAAATGGGCAGAAAACATAAATAGACACTTCTCTAAAGAAGACATCCGGATAGCCAACAGGCACATGAAAAGATGTTCAGCGTCGCTCCTTATCAGGGAAATACAAATCAAAACCACACTCAGATATCACCTCACGCCAGTCAGAGTGGCCAAAATGAACAAATCAGGAGACTATAGATGCTGGAGAGGATGTGGAGAAACGGGAACCCTCTTGCACTGTTGGTGGGAATGCAAATTGGTGCAGCCGCTCTGGAAAGCAGTGTGGAGGTTCCTCAGAAAATTAAAAATAGACCTACTCTATGACCCAGCAATAGCACTGCTAGGAATTTATCCAAGGGATACAGGAGTACTGAGGCATAGGGGCACTTGTACCCCAATGTTCATAGCAGCACTCTCAACAATAGCCAAATTATGGAAAGAGCCTTAATGTCCATCAACTGATGAATGGATAAAGAAATTGTGGTTTATATACACAATGGAATACTACGTGGCAATGAGAAAAAATGAAATATGGCCTTTTGTAGCAACGTGGATGGAACTGGAGAGTGTGATGCTAAGTGAAATAAGCCATACAGAGAAAGACAGATACCATATGGTTTCACTCTTATGTGGATCCTGAGAAACTTAACAGAAACCCATGGGGGAGGGGAAGGGAGAAAAAAAAAAAAAGAGGTTAGAGTGGGAGAGAGCCAAAGCATAAGAGACTGTTAAAAACTGCGAACAAACTGAGGGTTGATGGGGGGTGGGAGGGAGGGGAGGGTGGGTGATGGGTATTGAGGAGGGCACCTTTTGGGATGAGCACTGGGTGTTGTATGGAAACCAATTTGACAATAAATTTCATATATTAAAAAAAAAAAAATGTTAGGCTATTTTTCCTACTAGTGTCATACCAAGATATCACTGCAAAACGCAATGTACTAAAGCTTTCTGCCTTTGCTTTCTTCTATAAAAGTTTTATATTTTATAGTTTTATTTGGTATGCTTAGGTATTTGATCCATTTGGGGTCAATATTAATACATATGATGTAAGGTAAAGGTCAAATGGTAAAAATGAATGCTTGTTTTTTTTTTCTATTAAAAAAACTTAAAAAAAAATTCTTATTTAGTTTTGAGAGAGGGGCAGAGAGAGAGACACACACAGATTCCAAAGCAGGCTCCAGTTTCTGTGCTGTCAGCACAGAGCCCAACATAAGCTCAAACTTGTGAACTAGGATCTGAGCTGAAGTCTGACACTTAACCAAGGAGCCACCCAGGTGTCCCAAAAACTTCATTCTAAGATCAGGAGTGAGTCAGGGATGCCTATTTCTTCACTTCTATCAACACAGCACTGGCAGGTCTACCAAAAGATATCACACACACACACACACACACACACACACACACACACACACACACAC